TGCAATTGAAAATTCAAAAGACTCATAGTATCAGACGGGAAATTGAGGTCATTGGTTCCTCATGATTTCCTTTGTTTCTCGTTACATTCTGAGTACGGAATTAAGGTGAACATATTCCTTTTGCTTACCAACTTATATGCTTTCTTCATGAATTTTGATAGTGCAAATACTATATTAATTTTTTAGTGGCTGTGAATTTTAAATATCTAGGTCAATGATAACCTACATTCAAGTATATTATACTTTAGGCTATATGATTTATATGAGGAGAACTTTAATCCATTTTACCTTGGATTTTATGAAGTTAGGAGAATATAGGAAATAAATGTTGTATGAAATGTTTTGTTTATCTATATGTAATGTTCTGAAACTGGCAATGAAGGTGAATGTTTGTTTCAAACTTTCAATGTGACTTCAGCTTGTATGAAGATACTGTGAAGGGGAAGGGAGTCAAGAGTAGAAACTCGGGAAGTCATCTAAATGCTGGCTTACTTAGTTATTGAGTATTTCATTGGTTATGGTTTTGGATTGGATAGAAAACTCATTGAAAAAATACATTAGCCGTAGGAAAATTAAATTCGTTGCTGTGGTATGTCACTTGAAAATTTTACTAGACCCAACTCCCAGTGTTACTTAGGCCAAACCTCAAGGACCAGTTTGGTTTGCCAAAGGGGTTGGCATCACTCTACCCTCACCTTCTGAACTGGTTGCTAGGTTATTTTTTGAATAATGAATTCAAATGTTATTCTTCAACTAAAAGGAACTTGGTGGATTTTATCATAAAAAGTGTAGGTCAGTTAACATGCTTTGAGTGAAAGCAAACACTAATTAGGGAGTATATATAATGATGAGGTGGGCCTTGGTTGAAAGGGAATATCTGCATTTTAATGCCTACTCATTATGAGTGGTAATGCTTTTTGCTTGTTAACTTGAAGTAAGTCCTGGTTAAGTTAGCTATATCTAATACCTTAATTTCTTCTAAAATTAAATATTGTTCCGAGCTGAGAACTACACATATACATTATTAAGTGGTTTGGGCAAGTAAAAATATAGAAGGCTTAATTAGTAGTGTAATTTGATGAATCATCAGTTACAACCATTCTTAATTTTAATAATTCTTATAAAAAGTGAAGATAACAAAGTTTGGTTATTAATATATAATTAATTTTTAATATCTATAAGATGTGAGGATAAGGCATGCTCAACGAAAAAAATATTAAGTTGTAAAGCTTTTTTCCTGTCGTTCTACAAGTCTGATCTATTTTAAGACTCTTTATAATGTTAAATCATGGTGTTACTTGTTAAACTCCTTGTAATTCTTACCTAATCTCTTTAATTAATCAGCCAGTTGCATATTCTTTTCTTTTTATTGCTTGCCCCATAGCCATCTTGTCTCCATTGACTTCTAAAATTAAATGTTATAACAATTGTATTGTCAGGAGTGCGTTTCCATAACAATGATCAATCACATTGTCGAGTTACACAAAATTGTGGAGTGATGGTGCCAGGGGAGCAGATGGTGATCCAATTGATTTTTATGGTGAATTAAGTGGTGTTAGAGCTAAATATGTTAATGGGTTTCGGGTTGCTATTCAAGTGTAATAGTTTGACACTGATGCAAAAAAGAAGAGGATACAAAAGATTATCATCTCACTGTTTTAATGTTGGGAAATTGTGGTATGAAAATGATCCTTTTATACTTGCCATTCAAGCTCAACAAGTATTCTATGTTGATGATTACAACTTGGGATAATTGGAAAGTGGTTCGAAAACAACATAGGAACCTATGGGATGTCCCAGAGATGGATAACACAAATGAAGAAGAGAAGGATATTGTTCCTGTCCAAGAAGATGAGTTTGACAGGGGACATTTCATTAGAGATGATGTTGATCCTAACTTGGTTGATGCAACAATTACACATGTTGGAGTTGAAGTAGTGGGAGATGATGCCAATGTTGATGTGAAGAAGAAGATAATACGGGATTGATTAGTACTGATAATGAATATGATTTAATGATGGATTCTGATAACAACTTTTGATGGTATGCTTGTATGATTATATGTACTTTTACGATTTCTGAATGTGTAAATATAGTTAATGATCTAATGTCGTGAGATATTGTATAGAGTGACTTATATCTTACCTGGTACGTTTTCTCTATGTTGATGTTTGCAGATTCCGAAGATGGCTCCTGGTACAAGAAGGACCCCAGCTAGACGTGCAAATGTTGTTCCAGAGAATCATAGTCTTGTACCGACACCTAAAATTGCTACAATCATGGTAAAGTTATGATATGGCCATATAAGCATACTGAAATATATACTTGGATTTTAGATATCAGTACAATGTTGTTTAAAATTTAAGAATACATTTTACTTTCCAACAGTAAACCGTCATTTGATAACATAGTATTAACTGTTGATGCATTATTTTGATTGTAGAGAATATAGTGGCGAAGAACGTGAGAGGGAAGAGTAGAGGAGTTGGATGTGAAAGACTCCTAGAAACAGCGCAATCAAAGTTGCATGTAGACTTTCAGAAAGAAGACGGAGTACCTACTGGAGGAAATGAATCAAAGTTGAGTACTGAGGTAGGAATAGTTGCGAGGAACTATGCCCCCGTAAGAGTGCTTACTTGGAAGAAAGGTCCCTATCATGTTGAAAAACAAAATGATGTCGTAATGTAGTTTAATATCTTATCCATTTGTCATACTTTCTTATGAAAATAATATATAATACCCATATAAGTTTAATGCATGTATATATGATGAATTTAGACCAAGTTTGACATTGATGTCACGGAGCCCTATGTACTGAAATGGCTGAAGCACAAATTGTGTAAGAGATTCAATAGCTTCCGGAGTGCCCTACACAAGAAATTCAAAGCATTGCTACTAAGGAGGAAGCATTACAGAATAGACCAGAAGAAATTAAAGATCCTGAGTGATTGGATATTCTTTGTGACCTTTTTTCGAGTGAAAAGTTTCAGGTAAGGTCAACATGGATTTTAATGTTAATATATGTATTGTATTTTAATTACATGATTTGTGGTGTTAGGCACAGTCAAAAAAACACTGAGAACGGTCGAAGATGAGTGTAACCAGCGGTGGTTCCAAGAACTTTATCCAGCACAAAAAGGAAAAGGATATTAATATGATTCACTATACAAATATACAACATTGTTGTCCTGTTTAATAATATTTCAATTTATGGTCAATGACACATATGAACTGTTAAGCACAAGAAGTTGGGGAATCTGTCGGGCTATACAATATTTCATGACACTCGTTGGAGCACAGAAGAAATGGTGGATTAATGAACAAGCAAGAGAGCTATATGTAAGTTGATCATTTTCGTAACTGTCATACTGCCATGCTGGATTTGTTTTAATTGGTTCATTGCATTTCTCTGTCATCTTTTGATCACCTGTAATTATGTTGCTGCTTCTGCATGTTTGATATTGGCAATTAGTTTTCCTGAGTGTTACCAAACTTTTATAACTTTGCTATGGTTGGCTAGTAGGAAAAACCTGTTTCAAGGTTTATAATCTGTTTGGATTGAAATTAACAGTCTGGATTTAATGATGTAGATAAATTAGAGCAAAATAAATTAAATAAGGTTCAAAGTAGACAGGTTTATTAATAAATCATTGGGGGAATTTTGAATTCTAGACTGAAAGATGATGAAGATAGTAACATCCCTTCTGCCCAAATGAGAACATCATCTAGATGATATGAAGAAAGAGAACATAAAGCATGAAATCTAGAACCATCAGGGTATTTTACTTTGAACATACTTTTTTGGTCAATCAATGATGCTTCTTGCTAAATTTCCACTTGGCTGTTAACTCATGAGGAAGCTCATACAATAGATGTGATTCAATCAAGATGGCTGTGATTTATATATCTTTCTCCAAACTGAGTGTTTAAGTGTGAGGAAGGAAGTAGGAAACTATAATCTTTTGTTTCTTCAATATTCTGTAGCTTTAAAGTTATGGTTTAGTTGGGTCATTCCAAAGTCTTGTCTCTTAATCTCTTAAATTATATTGCATTTGGAGGACGCAAGAAAGCTATTTGGGGTATTTGGAATTAAAGAAAGAAAAGACTCTTTGAAAAAGCTATTTGGGTCTGATTCAATCAGAGTCATTCTGTCCTTCAAGTTATTGCTTCCCCCAAACGGTTGTTACAAGCAAAGGCACTTATATTTCAAAAATACAAAAGCCTAAACAGAATCCCAAAATTTGACTTTGCCTCATCAAAGTGAAACTCCTATCCTAGGTTATAAAAAATCATTTCTTGGCCTTTATGTGCATATGTACAAATTTATAAATATGTACAGATTTATACACTTGATGAGTAGTACAGATTTAAAACACTTTGAAAATGGGAAATGCATACGTACAGATTTATACATATGGCTTTGTTTTGCCTTTGCAGAATTAAAACACAGATTATAAATATGCCTCTGCAGATTATGTGTTAGAGAAAATGCAACAGCCCTCATCTTTCCAATTACTTAGCATGTTTAGCATGGATATGTGAATGTAAAATGTTGCTTATATGTGTATAAGAAAAACTTATGTCAGAAATTTCCTTTAGTATTAGATTGAAATGTTTGAGATACTTGTTCTACTCCATCAGACTTATTTTGTTGGTGATGTAGTTATTTTTATGTGCTATTTAGTTTGTGGTTGACTTATTGATATGGATTCAATTGATGGTAGGAAAAAATGATAGAGCTGCAAAGAGAAACACAAGCAGGGGAAAGTGAAAAAACAGAGCTGAGATATGTGAGGAAGTTTGGATAAAGCTTCCGGATTTAACAAGAATTTTGCATTTTCACAAATTCAGCATCAATCCACTGCAGGAGAAGCAGAGTTAAGGTGCATTGTGCAACAACAAGAAAATAAGATTAAACAGTTGGAGGACCAGCTAATCTTATTTGATCAACAAAAAGAGAAAATAAAAGCCTTGAACACCAACAATTGGTCCTGTTAGAGATGATGAAGCAGCTAACTATAGCCCTTGAACTAGAGAAATCTGATAAAGCTCCAACTCGACAGCACTTGCTTCTCAAACTGATGAAGACCGTCCCATCAGCTACAGCTATTTCAAATCTGGAACTGGTGACACTTGACATGCTAACGGTATTGATGGTTATTTTTGTATTGTATGGATAATAGATATTTTGACATGGGGGTAGAACCATCTTTGAGATGTTTGCATATACGTGTTAGATGGTGTACATGGGGTGGGCATTTTTGTTAGTTATGCATAGATAGATAGGGTAGAAAAAGGAAATGTGGGTGCATGCTATTCTTTTGGGTTATGCACATGTGATAGTGCATTTTAGATTTGTTGCTCATCATGCAAAAAATCATGTATGGACTATATATATATATATATGTATGAAATATGATTTTTGATTTAGTGATCAGATTTTATATTGTGTCCATTATTTGTTCATGTTGAATGTATAATGTAGGTCAATACGAAATGCTCTAAAAAAAAACATATTCTGCAACTAATTTTTTAGTAGCAAAAAGTCATTTAGCATAATTGCATTTCGCTGGAGGTCAATATGAAATGCTCTAAAAAAAACACATTCTGTAACTAAGTTTTAGTAGCAAAAAGCAATTTAGTATAAGCTTCCATATTCAGCGTCTAAAAAATAGTCGCGATAACATTTTGGATTTCACATTCAGCGTCTAAAATGATTACAATTAACCACTAAATTTTTGTCACTAAAAGATAAATTCGGCCACTAATAAAATAGTCACAAAAACCTATTGGATTCCACATTCAGCGTCTAAAATGACTATAATTAACTACTAAATTTTGGTCACCAAAAGATACATTCGGCCACTAATAAAATAGTCGCGAAAACCTATTGGATTCCACATTCAGCATTTAAAATTACTATAATTAACTACTAAATTTTTATCACTAAAAGATACATTCGACCACTAATAAAATAGTCGCGAAAACTGTTTGGATTCTACATTTAGCATCTAAAAGAGTTACAATTAGCCACTAAATTTTGGTCACAAAAAGATACATTCGTCGACCAATAAAATAGTTGCGAAAGCCTTTTACGAAATTACCCTTACACCTTTGGCATCTAATTTGTGTGGGATTCACGACAAATTATTAGACACTAAAACTGACATTTTGCAACTAATTGATTAGTCGCTATACAATTTTACCAAATTACCCTTGAACTTTTAGTGTCTAAGTTGGGGGACTATTTTGACCAGCATTTACCGACTATTTTTCTAGTCGCAAAAAAAAAACTTTTTGCGTCTAAACCACAATATAGACGTGCTATGAATCTGCGACCAGCCTACTGCAACTAAGGGAGCGACAACCAAATTTAGACGCTAAAAATGGCTTAGCGTCTAAATGTGACTTTCTGCGTCTAATTTTGCTAGACGCAGAATGCCAGTTTTCTTGTAGTGCACTCAGCCCACCATTGCAGAATTGATCATTACTTTCGACGCTAGAAGACAGTTCGATGTTTATTCAGAATTGGGGTACACAGAAGACCTTGTTGGTCTACCTTGACCGTCGTGCCTCCCATACTTTTCGTTGAAAGCAGTGTTGGGTCAAACGAGGTAATATTTTCTGTATGTTTTGTTTATAATGTTATATGTTGCCTATGTTCATATTGATATGTATCCTAATTGTTACAATATTTCAATTATGATTCTTGTTCTCACCCTACTATTATTAGATGAGTGAGTTCGTTCAATGGACTGCTGAACTCACCCATAGGTTTTGTTTTTAGAATTGTTGGCTGAGCGAGTGAAAACAACCCACGGTACTGCAATAAGAGCTTCTGACCATAGGAGGATTAGTGAACAATTACAAAATATAGCGCAGAAGAAACTGGAAGTGCAACAGTTGGCTTCTAAGTACCAACACTTGCGATCGACATACAGGTCTTGGCGTATGCTAATAGAACATACGGGATTTGGTTGGGATCACGAGTCCCAAACTCCAACATGTCCTAAAGAGATATGGCAAGAATATATAAAGGTAAACAACATTTTTTTTTTCCAATTCTTATAACGCAGTAGTCGGTATGCACTTTTTGTTTTGGGAAAATATAAATTAATGTTTGTTTGTTTTTCAATAACAGCAAAACCCTAGTGTGCATCAATTCCTACATAAAGGACTTGTTGATAGAGAGTTATATAAGGTCATATTCCAGAAGCAAAATGCAACTGGCAGATTTGCTTTCACATCTGCATCTGAACCTACGGCATCCACCTTGTGTTTTTTTGATCCTATCGAGGCAGACATGAATCAAGATGACTTCGATCCTGATCTAGATAGATCAACTGGAGAAAAACGATCTAATAGGTCTGGAGATAGCAGATCCGTAAATAGGAGGAGGAGGAGAAGAAGGAGAGACGGGGAGGGAAACCCATTTTTGGGTGTGATGACTCAGTTGGCGGAAGCTATTTCTAATAAGACTATGGGATCTGAGGCATCAATTCGTAGTGGCGGTGATAGGACCCAAGAGAACACAAGTGCTAGGACGGATCGATATTCCATGGAAAATTGTCAGGCAATTTTGGAAAGTATGCAACTTCCACCGCAAGTATATTTGGATGCTATGAAGTACTTAATTGCCAACCCAGAGTGGCGTCAGTTTATGGTGAACATGTCACATGCGAACAGGGAATTTTGGGTTTATAAGGATATCCGTCGGACGTAGATGACGGTTTAGGACTTCCATGTTGAACTTGTTTTCGCTTGTTAGTCTTTATTGATTCTGTTGACATCTAAGATATTTTATATTTACTTTCTTCATATTATAGACTTAACTTGCTTTGTTCTAAGAACTGATACACCATCTGTTGTTGTGCAATGATTCATATATTTAAAATTGAATGTTATTTATATTTTGGTTAGTATTAAAAAAGTATGAACTAATGGAAGCAATTATTACAATGGACAGGTTTAGATGGCGTCGTCTAGCCATACAAACCATAATCAAGATAATGAGAGCGAAGAAGTACAGTTATATATATACGCTACAGCCGCATTGTGTGGGGTTATTACATATGAAATGGAGTTTAGCATGCAACCAAGCCAACCTATAAATATATCTTCATTAAATGGTCACGATTATATGGTGGAACTGCTAAATGGTCATCCTAGAAGAATATACATAAGTGTTGCATGAGCAAAAGATGTTTTCAAACCTTATGTTATATATTGGCACAACGAGGCAAACTGCGAGTAACCAGACACGTGAGTATTGAAGAACAAGTAATGATATTTTTGACAACAGTTGGGAAAAATGCGTCAAATCGTGATTGTGGGGAGGATTACTAGCATTCCAGTGAGATAATCTGTAGATATGTCCATGCAGTTTGTGATGCAATATTGGAGTTGAGGTCAGTCTTTATCAAGCCACCTGACTTCACTGATGTTCCATTGGAGATATCGACCAACCCAAACTTCTACCCATTCTTTAAGGTACTTAATTATTTTTAATTAGTTGATAGTTAAGTTCATTGTTTCATAATTGTTGTTCGTCTTCACATATTACTAAAATGCAATTTTGTCAACAGGACTGTCTTGGAGCGATTGATGGTACACATATACGTAGGTCGATGCCAGTTGAGGTAGCTGATATGTATCGAAATCGTAAAGGGGCATTGTCATAGAATGTGATGGCCATCTGCGACTTCAATATGTTGTTCACATATGTCGTCACTGGCTGGGAAGGATCTGCCCATGACGCAAGGATTCTAAATTCAGTTCTAGATGATCCTGATTCGGGTTTCCCGCATCCTCCTCCAGGTATAACTAACTTGTTTATGTACTGTAGCTAAACTATAAACATTTTTTTTTTATGATTCTTCAAATAACATTCAATTATTCATTACAGGCAAATATTACTTAGTAGATGCGGGTTATGCGAACAGAGGTGGGTTCCTCACCCCACATAGACGAGTTCCTTATCATGTTCCCGATGCACATCGTAACCTTTCTGGACCTATGGAGTTGTTTAATTACAGACATGCATCGCTTCGGAATGTTGTGGAGAGGACCTTTGGTGTTTTTAAAAAAAGGTTCCGCATTCTTGATGGCATGAATAATTACCCGTTGCAGAAGCAAGCTAACATTGTTATGGCATGTTGTGTAATTCATAATTTTATGAAAAGGTTCAATACGAACAACCCTATCTTCCAAAGGTTTAATGGGAATGGAGTTTGTGAGGAAGGAAATGGGACGGGTTCGAATCAATTGACTCAGCGTAATACAGACGACATGGGAAGGGTGAGGGATAGCATAACTACTGCTCTATGGGCAGAACATGAGTCTAGCTCGTATTGATAACTGAATATTGGGGTACAAAGAATTTTGAGGGATGATTATTAGTAGTTTCGTATTATTAATTTAGATATGTATTAATACTGTGTTTTTAAATGATATATTAGTAGTCTAACTTATTATGGAGAAATTTTTTTTAAGTAAGCCCTTAAAAAATTACCAAACAACTAATTAATATTATTTAAATGTGAATTGAAAAGTTCAATAATCAAATAATATAAATTTGAAATAAAATGTATCAAAATATTATCTTAAAATCCTTTTCAAAAAAATACATAAAACAATTATTCATTAATTTATTTAATTCAAATATAATATTCAAATAATTAACCAAACTGAACAAGTGATTTGAATAGATATTTCACCTGAATTACCAAAAATACCCCTGCGTTCAGCTAACTTACTGATGGCGTGAGTGGCGTGGGAGTTCATAAAGGTAATACACAAGCGCAGGCGCACAACATTATCGAACATTATTAAATGCAAACAACATTTTTCTGACATTATCTATTGATAATTCTAATAAATAAACAACATTTTTAAATGCAAACACTTTTTTCAAAAAACTATTAAATACAACTCAATTCAACTCAACCCAACTTTTTTCAAAAAGCTATTCTCAAAAGTGTAAAATAACGAACCAAACGGAGCCATAGTGATTTGGTATTGTTTGTAATTATAAAGAATGAGTTAGATGGTTTTGAAGGAATATTGCTATGCTTACAACTGAGCCATTTAATCAAACAAATTTTTTACAAAATTTATGTAAAATGACTACTCTATCCTATGTTTCTTACCTGGTTATATGACTTAGTTGTAAGTATAGCATTATTCGTTTTGAAAAGCAAGTTAAAGAAATATGAATAGGGTAATTTTATCTTTTAAAATTAAGAAAATTGAGTTAGCTTATTTTATGAGATATTTTCCAATTTAACACTATTTTTTATTTCACACCTTATAAGAGGGCTTAATAACATAATTTCGGATAAGATCACTAGTGAATAATAAACAAAATAATTGCTACTATAAGAGGTTAGACAGACTACAAATGTCTGGATTTTGAATCACTAATCAAATTTAATTTAAAAACATGAATACAAAACAAAACAAAACAAAGCAGCTATAGTAAAGCCTCTCTATAATCATAATGGTGGATCAAACTAATTTATTACTATATGAAGTTATAACTTAATAGATGTGTAGTTATAAAAATTACTGATTTGATTTTTTATTTTATAATTCACGTTTTAGTAGTATGTATTAGGATTTCAATTCATTGTTTTAGTAGTCATTATTGCTGCAATTAGACAAGAAGAGAAAGGAAATAATTCTGAGAATGATAGTATTTAAATATAAAAAGTTTCTTGCCAAGAAGCTCTAAACATGCTTGAGAAGCTAGAAATATTTTGGCTTCAACAATAAAGTGTCCATGCTAGCGAGTTATTAAGTACCCCAAGTTAAAAGATAAGGTAACAACTCTAAAGCATAAATCATTGTCCCAAACAACTTTAGATAAATATTTTATTTCATAAGTAAACGACATATTCACACCTAAAGTTTAGCAAAATCCAAGATTGGTACCCTTGGTTTCATAAATTCAAGATTACAACCCTTAAATGGATGTTGTTAGTGATGGATGGCATTTGACACAGAAGTAGAGGTGCTTTTACAAAACTGCCCTCACAACTTCTTCTTCTTCTTCTTCTTCTCCCTTCCTCTTCTTCACTATCACCGGCACTTCCTCTTTGCGTGTTTCCCCCACATTACCCATTACACCGAGCCCTCCGACACTTCCACCAGATTCCCCACATCACCCACTACAAAACCCCTAACATTCATTCCTCGGTGCACCCTCAAATCACCGCCCGACAGCTAATACCTTTTTGTGCGTTTTCCCATTTTTCAGCAAGATCCGGTCGATTTTGACACTAGAACCACCACTCAAACCTGCGTCCTCTCCTCGCAAAACTCCTAACTTTCCTTACCTAGTGTACCCAGACCTACGTAGGGACTGGTCCTAACCAGCCCTAGTCTGGGCCTAATTGCGACCAATCGCTTATGGGCCTAGGACCAGTCCTAGGCTCATGAGAAATTTTAAGACCCGGACCAGTGACCGGCACTAAGACTGGTCCTAGGAACAGTCTTATTGGCCTAGAAAAATTTTTCACCCGAAATTTATATATATATATATATATATATATATATATTATATATATATATATATATAATATATATATATATATATATAGGAGGCCAAAAAAATTATGTTGGGGGTTTATGTAATTTTTAGGGGCCTAGAAAATTTATTTCCACCCCCGAGAGATTAGTAAATTTTTAATTAATTTTAAAAAATAATAAATTAATGGTTAATCATAATTAATAATTATTTATAAATATGGGGATTTAAATTTAAACTTTAAAAAGATAATTTAATTAATTAATTTTAACGTAAATGTAATATTCGCACATTCACACTTCACAAATAAACAATTAAATAAATTTGTTTTTATTAAATTATTCATCGTCAACAATATTTACATCATTGAAATCTGTGTTCCAGAAGAATTCAAGTAGTTTAGGATCTTTACGGTGCTGCTGTAGTCTTCTCTCTACATAAGTCCAATCCCGTAAATACGTTATCACTTCAATCATCTCATTGGTTAAAGAACATCTTCTGTCTTCAACAATCTGACCACTCGTTGAGAATGTTGTCTCGGATGCAATTGTAGAAACCAGCATTGATGAAATGTCACGTGTCATTTGGGCTACAATGGGGAATCGACTTTGATGTTGTTTCCACCATTGAATCACATCCATCTCACATTTCTCCTTCTTTGTTATGTAGGACATGTCCATTTGCAGGTAGCGATTTAACTCATTTGGTCCATGTATGTATGCACTAGAGTTGCTACTTCTACCGCCATGTTCCATATACGTCCATATGCTCAATTCTTGATAGTTGCCTTCATCAGGGTCCTACTGGACGTTCCGGTTCCATTGTACCTGCTCTGATATAAAGATAAAAGGCTTTCCAATTTTGTTTAAAGTTAATCAAATAATACGTATAATCATGTCCTAAATGCTGGCCTATGTTAGTAACTATACAATAAACTACGTGTAATTTAAACCTAGGATCTACAACAAGGCCTAATCCATATAAGAATGGAATAACTAACCAATATTTCTCATATTTTTTTTTTCCATCTTTGAAACAATTTCCATTAAGACGTCATTATATCTATATTTAGCAAAAGTTTTAGAATTTTGAAGTAAAATATCTAACGCTAAATTAGCAGTAGGATAATAAATACCATTTAATGTATTAGTGGATTCATAAAAAACTTTAAGAAATGAATAAAAAAGTTCGCAAACCGTCCAATCATCATAGTTGACAACTTCCTACGGATTCTTCCGATTGACAAAATCTGTAATTTGTCTTGCAGTTAGCAAAGCTTTTTCCAACATCAAGTAGGTGGAGTTCCAATGGATAGGCATGTCCATACATAGCTTCAAAGGTCAAACCGGTGGATCCTCTTGCTTACAATATTTGACGCACTCTTGCCATCTTTTGTTGCTACCGCCGACGATGAATCAGATAGCCACGACACCCTTTCAATCTTTAAATTTATATCTGTTAGAGTAGCCCTAGAGCCATTCAATTATTATAAAATTGACTCTGTAATAAATGTTTATGTATCAATAAAAGGCATATTCTTCTATATCGTGTATGTAATAATATATGTCCTTAGGATGGTAGAACCGTGACGAGGGTATCAAGTGTTTCAAATCTTGATAGTGAGAGCCCTATGATCACATATGGTGGCCATTCTAGAAATGTCTGTAGCCCCAGTATTATTCTGACCAAGGACATAGATAATACGGCAAGGCTATCATAGTGTTAAATGACCCTATCGAAAGGCAGTGACTAATCTCACTTGTCAAGGTTGTTACCAACAACCTGGTGCAACGCATGGGTGCTTGCTAGAGGCAAGTTCACTGGACAGACCCACTAGAGGATTCCATATGGATGGTAACCCTAGTGTCTATGGAATAAATCCTCTAACGGATGTTGGTGCATGTGATCCTTAGATTGGAGATCACCAGAACGCCTTGTACACCAATTAGTGTAGTTTGACACTAGCCCAACATAGTTCTATTCAGAGCTATCAATACTGTAGTGATTGGCTACACTGAGAAGTGTATCGAGACTATGGTGGATCGACAAAGGATTCATCACTCCTAGGTACGGGAGAAGTTATCTCATTGGGTAATTCAGTAAATGGCAATGATACTAAATCTGTGGCCACAGTGGGATTGAGTTGATGCTCAATCTAATTTAATATTCTTGTTATCGGTCTAGTAACTGAATACAAACATGTCGAGGATATCTGAGGTTGACACTGTTTTTGTACCTCAGTCTCGATGAGATAACAGTTGATGAAAGGATTTGATTGCACGGTAACCATATCATTGGCAGGCTGTGGTTTCGCTGAATCTGAATCTATCAGGTGACCATGATGCCTTGCTAGGGGCCAATCTTGATTTGTGTGTGGTGAGACGATTAATTGATGTTAATCGCGATACTACACACAACCGATATGATGAGGAGCCTATGGGTCACACACTTGGAAGATAATTTAAGAATCAATTTGTGAGAAAAGTATTTTTGTCTTTTAGGACGAAAGGGTATTTTGGTAATCTCACGGTGCAATTAATTTTGCTGATGTTGTTGCCTGTATTTAATTTTAATATTAAAATTAAATTAGTGAGATTATATTTAAATATATCTCTGTATATATTTAAGTGAATTATTATTATTAATTAAATATTAATGTATTATTATATATTAATTGATTTTAATTATAATAATAATTAATTAATTAAAATACCATAAAGGGTGTGTTTGGTTGCAAGGGTAAACTAGGGTTGGAGCCCATGGCTATTCCTAAGTGGAATGGGGTTTTAATTGTTGCAACTTAAAATTAAAACAAAGGTGAATTATT